ACAAGAAAGCGGAATGCTTAAGAAGCAGAGGGTTGCAGTCTTGGACCTCTTTTTAAAAAAGCACAACTTGCTCAAGCTCAAAATGTACAAACGTGAGAAAGTCCAAATAATAAATGCTTGGCTGTCTATGCAGCTTTTAAATACTACGACAAGTACAACAGAAGAAGAGCTAGAAGAAGATGGTACTTCACGCGAGGACACTGAAGATGATGATAATTCATTTGAGGACACTAATAAGGATACTGATGATTTGGATAGCGACGAAGAAACTGACATTGTTACTCATGAAATAGGAATTACTGATAGTAAGAAAAACGATGACAGAGAAAGAAGATGCCGAAACAGTCAATGTTAAGAGATCAAAGCACTACCCTATCAATCGCCGATACCCCTTTCAAGATCAGGTTTCACGTACAAAGAACGAAGGTCTCTCAATTGGAATTGTAGTTTTTGCGAGGCTGGCATGTTTGGGACTAGTTATACCCACGATCCTCCTCCTTAGGGATGTATAGAATGCTCTGCTGGTAAGCTACTTCAAAACGCTTGACAATAAGCGGAAACGTCTTGCTACTACACCTTTATCGTGGTAGTGCGATGTTTTACCTTTGTCATTCCCTAGAGTATCATTTCTTTGTTTAACGCTTACGCATGAGAAGACACATGAATTTGGAACACAAATTAAACAAAAATCAAGAGAATGACGCGTGGTTCGTAATAAGAAAACATTGCACCACAACAAGAGAAAATGAACTAAGAGAAGGAATCCCCGTGCCACATCATGTGCACACTTTGATGCTATTCTTAGAATCATTGATGCTATTTTTAACTCGTTACCATGCCCGCGCGATAATCATGCTTCCCTTATGCCTCGTTTTAGGACACGAAAAGCGCCATATTTCGCTACGTCCACGACAAAAACACAGGCTTTGTTTACTTTAAGACTGGAAGCCGCCTACCCTCAAGAAAATCAACCAATCAGGTTCTTCGCTCAAAATATCTCCAAGCTAAAATTAGCATCAAACTGTGCACATGATGGTTACAAGGCTATATAGGTAGGATTCCTTCTCTTAGTTCATATTCTCTTGACCACAATGAATAAGGTATTGGTATTGAGTTTTGGAAATTTGGTAAGTGGATTCTATCAAGATGAGATTGAAGAAACATATAGTAAGGAATGCAGTATGAGCAGTTAAGTGTTAGTATAGACCGACTTTGGTCAGTGGTATTGATCAATTTGGGATTCTTTCACAACTTGTTTCATCCAATCCTATTGATAACGATATGCACTATTTATGATAGTCGACATGTCGATGATGTTCGAAAAAAGAATGCGTTGCATCCCATGGCTTTTATTCCAAAATCGTGATGAAAATTTTATCGTTTTGAAAGCTATATGAAGAATACATCCTGTTTTATAGAGAGTAAATATATTTAGTCCAACACCGAGCAGAGCTATAGGCTATAGGCAAGAGAAAATGAACTAAGAGAAGGAATCCCCCCTATACAGCCTCGTAACTATCATGTGCACAGTTTGATGCTATTTTTAAACCATTTGTTTTTCTGCACACGCATTTACTGCGCGCGCTCTACGCTGTTTGCTTACGTTTTTGGGGTTTTTCCGTTATTTCGACTCTGCCCTGAATATGAATGTGCACGTCGAAAGCTTGGCAAATACGACAGGAATTTGAAGTAGTAATTTGTTCAAATTTCTGGAGTATCTTTACATTTATTTTCCAAAGCTTTCGACCTACATCGTCATCTTGAGGGCAGATTTGACCATTTGAACATAAGAAAAGCACAAGAAAACGTTAGTGAACAGCGTAGAGCGCGCGCGTACTATGCGCGTGCAGAAAATCAAATAAATGATATCATTGGATGATATTTTCAGAATAGATTCTAAAAATAGCATCAAAGTGTGCACATGATGGGGCACGGGGATTCCTTCTCTTAGTTCATATTTTCTTGCTATAGTAGGTCGGTGCTTTTTGCACAAAAATGTGACAGTTTTGTCGATACACATTCCTGAATGGTATCCAAAATCCTTGATAACATTCGTTGTTTGCAAAGTCAATGAACTATATTTGTCCAATAGTCATTGTATTCGTGTTGCACGTCAGGCTATATACCTATATCTATAAAAGCATAGCGCGCTACCTCAAATTGTTGATTTTAAATTGCAAGAAACTAAAGCATATAAATTCATTCATAATTCCTAAAGCGATTCGACAAATTTACTCTTTGGTTTAGATCTTCGCTTGTTTCCCGTGCAGCGAGTCATTGGGAATCGACGACAGTCTTTCAGGCCGACAATTTCAAAATTTAACTTTCTTAGCAACAGGGCACCACATCTCCTAAACATTGTTTTGCACTGCGATCGACAAGGACCAAACTTTGTCCCATTTTTTGAACAGCGAGGAGTATGCACCGAGCACAGAAACATTTCAAGATTTCTAAGGCATTTCTTGCTGGCCCAGTCTTTGATTTCCGACGCATGATCCTCTATTAATTTCTTTATATTCTCAAACGATTCTGAAGCATTTGAAAGAGAAGCCATTTCGTAGTGGTTCTTGCAAGGGTGGTCCGGTGAAAGCGGTTGACATTTCATTATACCTGCATAAGAATGAAAGTTCTAYGTCAAAATTGCATCACTTTTATAATAAGCAAAAACAATGTGAAATAACTAGTGATCCCAAAACGTTGCATGTCATGTGTGCATCACTCAGGATCTAGAAATGAAAATTGAATGGCAGAAAAAAATTCGAGGAAAAACTCAAGAGCGTAGCCAGATGTAAACCCTTAAAATCAGGGTTTTTAAAACTATTCATTTGCTCAATCTTTCTAGGCTCGTCTTCTTTAGCTGATAATTTAAGACCTCCGTATATAACGTTTTTTTATTAACTACAGTCTTACGAAAAAATATATGACGAAATAATGATGAATTAGGTGAAGGAAAAAGATGTTTTACTAGAAATACCTGGCAATGGGGTCGATGGTATGTTAGGAGACAATCCTTTCCTTGCTTTCGATATCTTAAACAAACCTATAAGAACAATAGAATGTAACGTAATTATCGCGATAACAGTTTAAACAAAATAAACAAAAGTTAAGTAGGAGTACCTTTACTGTCAGTATCATTTGTCTTGCCATAGATACAGTTTTTTTCACCATCCACTGGAAAATTGGTACACTCTACGCCACGAGGCCACTCGAGGTCGTACAGCTTCATCACGGTTCTGCACTCTCGTTTAACTTGATGACAGAGTGATCGACAAGGAAGTATATTGAGTGTCAAAGCCCCAGTCATACTTCTGACACTAGAGAGAGTCTTGGTACATATAGGAGCATACAGGGAGCATATAAATAGTTGAAGCTTTGGAGAACAATTGATTTCCAGCAACGGCCAAAAACTGTACACCTCACGTCCAGCATCATTTTGGTACTTGTGGTTGAAGAAATTTGGGAACTGAGTGAAGTCATAACCTACTCCTTGACATATCTTTAAGCTTAAGCCCTCACAACCTGATGGAGGAGAGATTATGACAGGAAACGTCGGGGAAGAGGTGAAGCTTGATTTTGTGGAAGTAAGGTGGTCATCTTTCTCGTTCATGGAAAAGCGAGTCGCAGGTTTAACAGACGACTTAAAATCTTCCTCATTCCGTTGCACTATGGCTTCAGTAGAATTCTCTACTTGTTCATTTTGAATTACTTTAATATTTTTTCCAGTTCTAGGCTGAGTTGCCAAAGTGGGCTTTGCTTTTTCTTTAGGTGTTGAAATTGGCTTTGTTAAAGAAGAAGGACTAGATTCCACTGTTGTCGATTCTTGCTCAACAGAAATGGCACCCGGTGAAGTAAGACTGTTTGCTTTCGTTGAAAACCGTTCAAATATCGTGACTTGGGCTTTATTTGAGATGGTAGGAGAAGTTGGTAAAGCGTTTTCGTTTCCTGACAAAATAATAAAAAAGGTAATAATTAAGAAACAAAACGTCTGGTACATAAGCTGACAGGCCCTATAAGCCTTTTTAAAGAGAATGGAGGAAAGAGAATTACCCAGACCAGGGGGCATGAATCATGGTGGTGTACTAAGGCTGCGTTCATAATGTATGGCAGAGGTGGGGGAGGGCAGGTAAAATTGAGGGAGGATCGGGAAAATTTTGGTAGGAAAAACGGGGGGATGGGCAAATTGTTATCAGAAAAATGGGGGGATGCACAATTTKTGAAAGAAGCTACAAGCCTTGCTTAGGGGGATCGTATTTTTTTTGCATGACTTTAAGGAGGTTGTTAAGAATCATTCTGGAAATTTCAAATTTTCACCTGCCCCCCTCCCCCCGCCATACATTATGAACGCAGCCTAAAGGTAGTTGAGAACATTATTGCACATTAACGCCTTGAAACGGCGAATTTCCAACAGGATTACTTTCACTTCTTCTGTAGTTTTACTTTATAAACGAGAAATATATGCATGCACACCAGTAGAGACTTAATTGAATAAAATGAAGAAATATTTCTACCTTGACGAAGGCTTGTTAAATACTTTTGGCTAAGACAAGTGCCATCATTAACAGCAGGAAAATCTTCACACGTTATGCCTTCAGGCCATGTAAACCCATATACCTTCATGTAATAGCTGCAATCACTAGTTACTTGCTGACACAGCGAACGACAAGGTAGCATGTTACGTTCATCAGTTATTTTACTCGTACACATTGGTGTGTACAAAGAACACAAGAATAATTTGAATAGTGTCGAACATTTTAGTTCGATTAACGGCCAATATTTCGAAATCTTTCTCCCAGCGTCGTTCTGATGCGTTTGGTTAAAAAAGTTTGGAAACTGGACATATTTGTATCCAACACCGTCACAAGCCTTCAAATACAACGGCTCACAGTGATTCGGTAGTGATTTTGGTTCAACGATTGCTGGATTGGTTGTTGCTAAACCAGGTGATGATTCGGTTGCCAACGTGGAGATAGTTTGACTCTCCAATGATGGATGATTAGTTGGTGGGACTGAACTCCACTGGGTGACGTGGATGGCCGTCGTGGTTGATACCTCACTTTCATGGCCTATATGAAGAGAATTCCTATTAGAGGTATGCTTCTTCATGAAGAAAATCAAAATCATTCATGAACTAATGGATGGATGAGTAGATAAAGATACTATGTTAAGTATAGGTATGCTACTTAAAATAGCTTAAGAGTGTAGTTGGTAAAAAGCTGGAAATCGAACATGCACGTTTATTCACTTTTGACTTTTTGTGTCTACAATTATGAGTAGAACGGAAAAAGAAAAATGAAAGAAGACGTTTTAGGAATGAAGAGGTCGCCCACCTCTTACGCAAGAGATGGTTGAGCTCCCCACGAAAAACCGGGAATTGCAATCAAATAGCAACATTTGGTAATCCACCCCTCAAAAGTTACCTTAAATCACTTTTCAAATACTACGCCCCTTGCGTTTTGGCATCTGCTTTTACTCAGTTCCAAAACATGACTAAAAAGTCATTCAGTAACGTAATATTAGATATTTGACACGCATTCTTTCTAAGAAATGCTATCATATTCAGCCACTTACCATATGAAATACATATTGCGCTCTCACCAACATCTGGGAATTTTGAACAATCCAACTCAGCCGGCCAATCCTTTCTAATAATTTTACAATTCTTCTTGGTCAACATGCACATGGACCGACATGGAAAGAATGGTCCTCCCAATTCTTTACTACAATATGGAAAACTAGCAGCGCATAGAAACTGCTTCAGTTTAGCGTGGTTTTGACATAACGGCGTTAAATGAGACCATATGGATTTAACGTGATCCAACATTTCATTCTGTCCTTCTTTGGATGTCATTTTTGTCGTCTTGTAGCCAATGTCACTACACATGGAAGGTTTCAAAAGTTCGCAAGTACTATCTTGTTGTGGCTGTGTATCGGTTGTAGGCAAAGTTCCCGTAATCACTAAATTTGGCATTGTTGAGGTTGATGGTGTGATAATGATATTTGGTTGCCTTGGTGACGAACTGGATGAAAATAACTGAGAATCTGTCACTTGTTGATCTCTTACAGCTGCCACTGAAAAGGTGGTTGTTTGAAGGATGTCTACAGTACCAGATACAGCATTTGTATTTGTTTGTAGATGGCTTGAAGTTGGTTTCTGTGTTGTTTGTTCGTTTGCTTGTGTAGTTGGTTGCTGCATCGTTTCCTGTGTCATCCTTTCTGTAACTTGTTCGGTAGCTTCTGTAGTTGTTTGTAGATGGCTTGAAGTTGGTTTCTGTGTTGTTTGTTCGTTTGCTTGTGTAGTTGTTTGCTGCAGCGTTTCCTGTATCATCCTTTCTGTTACTTGTTCGGTAACTTCTGTATTTGTTCGTAGATGGCTTGAAGTTGGTTTCTGTGTTGTTTGTTCGTGTGATTGTGTAGTTAGTTGCTGCAGCGTTTCCTGTGTCGTCCTTTCTTTAACTTGTTCGGTAACTTCTGTCGTTTGTTCCTTTGTTCCTTCAGTTGTTAATGTGGTTTTTTGATGCGTCATGGTTTCACTCACTTGTTCTGTGTATCGTGGAGGTGATGGTGATGGTGTTGTTATCGTAGTGTTTGCTGCTTCTCGTGTTGTATGTTGATTGGCTGCTGTTGTCGTTCTTTGTAATGTTTGTGCAGTTGTTTGTTGTGTGGTTCGTAGCAGTTTTCCTTCTGTTGTTTCATGCACTCGTGTTGTTTGCTGCGTTGTTTCATCTTTTTCATTATCTGAAGGTTGCACCGTACTTTCATAAGTTTGTCCTGTTGTCACTAATATCTCATCCCCTGTTGCTTGTGTAGTACTTTGTGTTGAAATTTCTGCCATCTCTGTTATTTCTCCTATAGGTTCTGTAGCCTGCAGTGTCTTGCTTTTTTTTATTTCCATCGTTGCCGTTATTGGCCTCATCGACGACTGCTCCTTTGTTTGGTATGGTGTCGTTAGTATACTTTCCTCCGTCACATTTTTGTTTGGCAGTATAAGCCGTTTGGTTGTTAGCTGTAAATCTGGTCTTGTTGTTTTTGTCGTAGAATGGGTCGATGGAGATGTCATAATACCCGTTTTTCCTGTTTGGTGATGATAAGGCTTCTTTGTCGTAGGTTGGATTGGATTGTCCAGTCGCAGTTGATTGACGGTTTGAGCAATTACCCAAGAACTGTACGGACCCTTTCTTTTCTTCAGAAGAGCTGCGAGTTTGACTTTGTACAGTGTGTTTGGCCGTAGATAGGTCAATGTGAAGGATTTGTAATGGCCCTGTCCATGAAGAAATGGCAAAGTAAGTCATTCGTTATTACATTCAAAAACTACTGAGCACCGAGCTCACTCATGTTAGTGACAGTCCTGAGTAAACTAGTTTGGATAAGACTGAGGTTGAGACTTGAACTTTAGTTAGTGTGTAAGAAAGTAACAGCAAAAAGAAAAGGAAGACTTGATGATGTGTGTGAAGTTCTACTTACCGGTAGAAGCAGAGACGTTTTTCTTAGATATGGCGAGTAAACCGGAGCAAAAACAAGAGTATAGTGCACAACATCGGACGCACGTGCTCTATACGGTAGATCCCAGGTTACTAGCAACTYATATAAAGGCAATGGTACCACGACGATGTTCTGAGGAACTCCTATACTGGCAGAATCTTGAGTCCTGGTGCGAAAACTAACAGAAGGGCCTGGGTGGGTGCCTCCGTTATTGATATCGGGAGCTCGTACACGAATATTGTACAAAGTATCGGGCTCAAGGTTTGGAATCATTGCTGTGGTTGAACTCCTTGAGACATGGAATGTTTTGGAGTTCTGCCAGTTTTTTCCATACTCAATGACGTAACCATCCATTTCTTGATCTTGTCGTAGCTTTTCCCATGTGATGACCGCTGAATTCGGGCTTGTGTATATGACTGCGGGCTTGAAGATCGCCGGCTGAGAGTCTGTAATTGAAAATATTATCATAATTTTTGAGACAGTACTTTTTTGGAAAGCAATTCATTAAGCTTTTGACTCAACTATATAGATTCTTGATATTAAAATCTTCTAAATCAAACTTAGCTTCAACACAACTTTATTCGCTTGCATTGCTACTTATTTCCGTCATCCCAATGTGTGGCATTTTTTCGATCTCATTCCAGGAGCCCATTACCTGGAGCGTACAACTAGTACCTCCATCTCGAGTTATCGTATTCTTAGTCTGTTTTTTTTTTATTCGTATTGGAGGCAAATAACAAAGCATTCCTCATAATTTTCTCTTGTTTATGCCACCAACACGGCTTCGTTTTCTATTTTTTCGAGGAATTGGAAGGCCGTTCTAAATATAGATGGTCTAGAAAAACGATAACTACTAAGGAATTTAAAAAAGAAACGTGAGTAAGCTCCGGATACTGAGCACCTGCTCTCCCATTCTTATTCCCATTTAGTTTCCCATTCAGTTCTCTTCGGTCAAGGGCCATGTGGGATTAGTAAATACACAATGTCGGTATCATTTGATCGCATGACAGCGTGTTTTATCTTCCATTCATACTTTACCTTTCATCAGTTCATTATCACCACAAACGTATCATCATCAGGCATTAATTATGCAGCTAAAACTACATAAGTTCCTTTGGCAAAACCACTACTTAAAAAACGCAACGGATTTACATTTTTTGCTGGGGTACGAAATAGAAAATGATCTAAACCTAATAGAAAGATATAACTAGCTAAAAACTAGTGTGAGCTGCGTCGGTGTTTCTAATGAAACAGTAATGATGGAAAGGTAAATTATACACCGTGAAAAGATGAAAAAACTTACTGACGTTTCGGACGCTAGTCCTTCGTCGAAGTAAAAGAGACGAAGGACTAGCTTCAAAAACGTCAGTAAGTTTTTTCATCTTTTCACGGTGTATATTTTACCTTTTCATCGTTACTGTAAACCTAATAGGATTTAACACGAGAGGAACGCGCAGCCGATAGATCGAATTATTTATAAGTTGATTTTCGACGAGGGAAGAAATACATCAATTAAGGAGTTGAGAGGAAACTTCAAAGTGCATTATATGAGAGCCTACTCTTGTGTCCATCTTTCTTCTAGAAAAAGAGAGAAGCTCGCATGTTTTCATATACTTTCTATACACGAAATGCTAAATGAGCCAGGAGGTGCCTCTAGCGATATCATATGTACCACATTCAATGAGCGCCTTTTTTTTTTTTCTGGTGAAAATCTTGCAGCTTCCAAACATTCAACAGAATATTTGCGACACTTTTTCTATTACACTATAGTTAAACTAGAATATAAAACATTATTAGCCAATCTCCGACCATATTGGTTTTAAATGAGCCACAAAAAAATGGACTTGGAATGTTTTAATCGTTCGACTAATCTTCAAAATTCTCGTCCTGGGAGAGCTTGTATTCCATTATATCCTGCGGTAATTATAGCGATGACTATATGCTATTTATATAACGTACTATTTGATTAGAAAAGCGTGTAGAAAATGTATCTTGCGGCCCGTGGGTCGTAAGGGATGGACCATTAGATAATTGATAGGGGTGGGGGGGGGGGGTTGCAGGAATTTTGGTTGCATGATATTTATTTTTTTGGCTCAACCCTTGCACGTTATTTTTTGCGTACAGTTAGATATTTTTCTTCTAGCAGATGAGGTTGCACGAATTTTTTTTTTGAGGTTTAAGTGCTTGCTCGATATTTTTTGGGGGATTTATCCCCCCCCCCCCCCCCCTGCCCCCATCAACTATCTAATGGTCCGTCCCTAAGAAAACTGGGAAGGGTATTTCAAGTATTCACCTCTGTACGAAAAGTTACGAAAAAACTTAAAACGACTACCAACCATAMAACGAATACCCGTGGCAACCTTAGAAGCTATCAATCAGCGCAATGGATCTAAATCCAGAAAATTAAAGGAAATAAAGTCAAGTGTTTCGAAGTACTATCGACCATAGTTATTGCTGGCCGTAAATCAGTGGTTTTATCAGAGGAAATTCATCCCCCCCCCCCCCTCACCTTTCCCAATAAGATATATCTACGTTGTATAGGCCGTCAATGTTTATCCACTGGACTCAGGGAGGGTGGGTGGGGTCGGAGGATTCTTGTTAAAGAAAGAGCTAAGCTACTATAATTTTGACTGATAATCCTCCCTTATTCGTGTTTACTACTTTCTCATTTTGTTGTAATCGCCCCTTTTGGTGCCTGTTGATGTATAGTTGATTCCCTCTTCAGTTGTCTAAAAACCCTGCCATCTTCCCTAATCCTATCCCAAGGCAATAAACAAAGCCGGACTGGTCCCTAACGGAATTACTGAATACCCTATACATTATAAAAGAGGTCCGCTATACCGCAATACATCGAACTGTTCATAATACTTCCTGTGATTACACATTACAGGAATATAGCTTCTTTTAATCACCCAATGGCGATGATTGATTGTTTCTAAGACTAAACACAGAGCACAACACAAACATAATAATGAAAATAAATGCGGACAATACGGCTTATATCAACTTTGTAGCTGGTACAAAAAAGAGGCGAAAAGACTTATCTGGTCTTACCTCCCCAGTTATTGTTTGGTTGCAAGCATTACCAAGAGAGTTAAAAGATTGTGGTGACGTTGACAATGGATCCTAATTGGAAATATTTTGTTAAATGGCACTGATCAACGGTCGGCACCCAAAGGTCCCCCAAGAGGCCGCGTTGACCTAACGTGGATCGAAGAATCATAAGGCTGTATCTGTATTTTGGATTTCTTATTGTTTATATATATATATATATATATATATATATATATATATTTCCGATACCTTTCTAGTATGGTAAATGCTGTTTGAATAAGAGAGATCAATTATACTTAAGGTATTTTGAGGCAAATGGTGAATAAAGAAGACAAGAAAAGAGAACGAGAAAAACTCAACAGAACGTTTCGCTGTGGAAACAAAAAAATATCTTCGACAAATGTATATTCTTTGATCACCTAGAATTGATAAACACATTACAAAATAAGTCTATTATATTTCCATTGTTTATATAACAGTTTGTAAATGAATTGTGTAAATGGATTCCTTTGAAAATCAACATCCATGTTAACAATGTCCTTATGGCTACACTTCAGTGCTCGACTACCATCGTTAACCCAGAACAGACCTTTAGAAAACTTACTCTTATCAAGTATTGCAGGCACAAGAGTACGAGTATATTAGCCTGAACACTGACATTCGAGAACACGCATCGATAGTTCGACCAGTTGTCAAAAAAAGTTTCATTAAGACTCAAGGTTATGACCTTTAGGGCTCATCAATTAATTCTAATTCTAGAAGACAAATAATCTACTCTAACTCTTTCATAAAAGTAGATTTTATCAATTAAATTAGATATCTTAGAGCATTTGAGCAATATTTGTGTTATTTAATATTTGGTTTATGTCTGTGAAGCGTTTAATGTATTCCTGAATTAGGACAATACTTTTGAGTTTATGAGAAGAAGGTATTTTTTTATCAAAAGTTACATTTGATGTTCCAACAGCGATAACCTTATAAACAGAAATCTAGACCGCTGTTGTGAAGACATCCAACACTGTGGGTTAAGTGGCAGTCTTTAATGTCCTTAATGACGATTATCAACAAACCTTACCTTCAAGCTGCCATTAAATACATTCATTCCTCTATAAAAGTACAAAACTTGAACCGACCACATCTGTGGCGTACCCGTGCTACATAGCTGACAGAAACATTTCCATATTTCGTCAAAGTATTTACTCTGGACAATGCAACAAACTTACAAAGCAGTTGGCTACTAAATCTCTCGGTGTTGTCATTAAAGACTATCTAGAATATTGTGAATCAAATATATTATCATTTAAGTATAATAATCGTACCTGACAGTTCTTTTGCACTGTATAGTGCGAAACAGATGGTCTCAAGAAGAAGACACAGCATCATTTTGGAGCAAGACATAACATTACATGTGCTTCTTCAGAAATGCCTCTTCAGTCGGTATACTCTGGATGTTCTCCAGTGCATTAGCGCTTGTTGAACTTCTCAGTGAATCACAACATTTATGATATTTATAGATCGTTAATTCATCCAGAGGGGGGATGCCTGAATAGTAAGGATGGCAGCTTCCCTTGCAGAGTTCAGAGGCACGCGTGAATAACCGTTGGTCCTAAGAAGTACAAGGTCAAAAAATATATTGAATGTCGTCAAAATATTGAATTTCGACATCATTTGTTGTCGGTTAATTTCGTTTTGTTGATTTTTGTAGCAACAGCGGGCAACATTTCCGTTTAACAAGAATGGTATGGGGGAGGGGAAGGTAAGGAGCACCTTACATAGCATTTATATCTGATATGTTTATTTCATGCAAAATAATACTTTTCCATTCTTCTCAAGATATATCCTCAACAACAGCTCATTTGAATCAATGGGGGGGAAATCCGTGGTTTTAATTTTTTTTTAAAGATTTTTTTGAAGGAGAGCAAAAAAAGAATTTTGATATGGAAGCCATTTTCACGAGTGACATTGGCGGGTTAACAATATTGAAAAACACTGAATTTGATCCTAATTTTCAAGATCTACAAATAACTTGATAGGCGCGTGTTACCTCACTTGCAAAGCCAAATTTATAATACAGGTTATTTATATGTAAAAAATCGACTATGACTTTTGCAGCAAGAAAAAAAAAACTTTGACCCCTACTAGCACCGTCAAATTTGAAAACGTATTTCATAAAGCCTCAAATCTGGAGCAATGTATATTGAATGTCCCAAAAGTATAGACCAGCAAAAGGCTCCTCTAAATTATGCCTGATTTTTTAAGGTCATGTCTAACTGCTGATCGACAAGAAATAGGCAGCATAGCTCGATGTATTTATCTTGGCTATTTCTAGTGTTCTATTTGGGCGTTAACTTGAACCAAGATAACCTGCCGTAGTCATGACGTTAGAACAGTGTTTACTGAATTGAGCATTATATATTAGGATTCTGCAGCATTTACGTAGTGCCAAGTGTTGTATAGGCCCTTAATGTTTACTGGAGATTACCGAGATTGAAATAGCCAAACATTCTGGTGCAGCTAGAAATATTTATCTTGAATCTCCCTTTTGTTTTATTCAGATATTTTTTGTTAGTGTATTTTGGAAGATTTCTCAGCCGCCTCTGACATGCCTAGTACTCAGACTTTTAGTCCTTTCCTTTCCTGACCTAGCCGGCTAAACAATTCCTCAATCCGCCTTAGTAATATATATCGTTTAATTCCAAAGCATATAAGGGATATATCAAACAGAGTAATTTGTACACAGTCTATGCAGAGGGTCGTTTTGCCTAATTCCAGCAAGATTGACGGTTAAGTAGAGATTAAGACTTATGTTTCCTGTACCTAGTACGATATTTCATCAAGTTTTATCTAGACCTGCTAGTCCTGGTCGCCCTGCTTGACTTGGAACCGTCTGCACGAAATCAATTCGTTAAAGGTCAGTTAAATATATACTTATCTCGAGAACGTATTGCGATGAAAATGTATCAATTGTCTGTCTCCATCCACCCCCTTCCCCACGCCAACACCCCCCTCCCCACCCCCGCGCGTTTGAATAAATATTATGGTTAGAGAGAGAATGGAAATTCCTTTGATTTCAGTATAGATATTGATCAGTGTTTTCCCTAAGGCTACACTCACTCTACTCTTTTGCATAAGACCCTGACCCAACTGAATAAAATAAAATATGATATGTGGCTATATCTAGATGATAATAGATTTGCTGCTTTATCAAACTCAATCTTCTAAATCTACCGTCGACTAAAATAGCTAGAAATAAACCTCCATTTTTAATTAACACTTTTTCCAATCCCTCCTACTGACAACACACAAATATACTGTCTGAGAAGTCATGCACTGTTTTGCATTTACATTCAAGTTCGGATAATGTTTAGATAGGTAGACACGTACACATCTCTTCACTACTTCAGTACGTGATTGGGGAAAGGTCTGGGATTAGATTTAATATTTCAAATACTCGTCAATAGACCTTTTTACCGATATGGCGGCCATTTTGAATTCTATCGTTTTGAACAAGACATTATGGGATGCCGAGGGGGCAACTATTGGAAAAATTATAGATTACACAGCTGTCAGGATGTCTAGTTTAAATATTTTAAGCTTTTCAATTATGAGAAGCACTTTTAAAAAGCAAATGAATTTGCTGGTAGCTGGAACAATATGCGAAACACCACAAGACTTCAAATTATTTGAAAACGTAACACATCGCCACTCTATATGCTTTATAAATATTCTACGAGTTTGACCTCTTGCTATCCCATCATCCAAGATGGCCGCCGTATCATTAAAAAGATCTATTCACGAAGGTTGCCAGCCAGCTAATAACATGCACTAACATGACGTTTTGCCCACGTGACCAGTCTTCATGGCCTTCAGACCTTGGAAGTCGGAACTTGTACTTCCTGGGCAATCGGAAATGATGCGTATAAAGGTAAGTTGTAGTGCTAAAGAATCCTAGTTATAATAAGGTTTGAACAAATAGTCATCGTGAAGTAGTGAAACACTCTTGGTTGAGTTGGCATTTATGGACGAAAACGACACCATCATGGAAAATTGTCCCCTAAGACAGCCTTACAATGTACTGCAACGTCAACTCGACCCAATTTCTTCTCAACTTGGGAATGTAGCAAAATAGGTCATTTTTGGCCATTTCCGTTAAAAGGCAAAACGTATAGAGGCTTTGTACCATCACGTGATGGCAGCCATGACGGGAACAATTGACTGATCTGGTCTAATCTGATTTACTTGAGAAAGAAATCTGTTTCCCAGGGGAGAACGACTCTGTTGTTATGCCTCCTGTTATGGCTGCCATCACGTGATAGTGCAAAGCCTCTTTGGATTACTTCATTATGATATATTTTATACTCTAGCTTTGCTCCATCACGTGAGGGCAGCCATGACAGTGTAAAGCCTTTATCTAGTGCCTATTTTTAAATATCTGAAACCAGAAATCAACCACATACAACCTCCGTCCAAGATACCCAAAAACATGTCTCTTAATAAAAAAATTTTCACATTTCTTCATCCAAACCATTTCATGTATATTTTCAGGATTTTGAGTTATTTTTGGCTGAAGAGCAAAGACTAATTTAAATTTCGTTCCAAGCCATACATGCATACCCACGACTAAATCCTTAGTGGCTATCCGTCACATCACGTCGGAGCTGGTTCGATTCCAGTAAAGGATCAAATGTGGGGTTCTATGTACCTAAAGCCTGAAACATTACACTCATATACAACTACTTTTACTAATGTACTGAATTCATGGTTTTGATTTGATTCGATTTTGCGTGTTTTTTCAAAACAGTTTCAAAATTATACTTGATCATTATACTTGATTCCAGCACAAAGCTATAATATAACTTAATTTTCGATCGCCAATAACCAAGGTACAGAGAGTGGTATAACTTGGTTCAGTATTATAGTACTAGAAAGATATGGCAGTGCGCCGTGTGGAATGGGCTCGGATATCAAATAAGAACATGCGTAATAAGTAAATTACGAGCCTTAGATGAAACGACTGAAGAAGAGTGCCATACAAGCCTTTCACAACTTCAAGTCGCGTAAAAA